GTCTACAAAGGACGGCTGCGATTGCGAGGATCACAGTGCAGCGCAGCGTTTGACAGGCAGCTCGGATGTTAAACCACCTGCCTCTTTATCACATGCAGATATGGAGAACATATACTGCACTTTAGTCTATAACTCATACATATCTGGTAATGGAGTTTGCATGGAGCATGCACAATATCTCCCATGGGACAGACCTGCATGTGCCTTATGCTGAGAAAAAACTGAAGAACTGTGGAGAAAGAGTTGTTTTAGCTGCATAGGAAATATTCCATGGCTTCATACAGAAAACCCCAGCCAAAACTCTCTGCATGCATTACTGTTTTTTCTTTACCCACTGGCAGAGTGAAAGTGAGGGGGATAAAGATACAAGCAGGGAGGAAAGCCTGCCTCTGTTTTGCTTTTATTTCTTACTTTCATTCAATAGAATATGCTCCTGGCATACAGTTGAAGCAACACCCATAACATATACACATGGTAAATAATTGATGACATATCGTTTCTTTGTCTTCTCTTGAGTTTGTTTAAGCAACATTCAACTTGGTGGGCAAGACTTAAGGCGTGTTCAAATAAAACTGATTACGTAGGGCGTGTGTTCAAGTGGTTTATTTGTTTAACTCTAACTGCTTCAAACTAAGTACGTCCAAGGCACATGCCACAGGACTCAGATGCCAAGATGTGCACGGTTCAACTAAAAATCCATAGTTTTCACGCTGACATGCCAAGGTCAACCCATAATCTGTCCATACTATAGAATGCTTATCCTGTTATCTGTTATCAACATAATCACTTTTTATCCAGCACCATAATTAAGTACAATTTCGTACTTAAAGGTGGGGTAGGTAAGTTTGAGAAACCGGCTCGAGACACACTTTTTGTTGTATTCCATGGAATGCTCTTAACATCCTGATAGCAATGAATATCTTAAGTGCTTTGACAAAAAATCCATAAAAAAATGTCATCTGTGGAAGCCGTAGTACTGTAAAAAGTACGACCAATCATTTTAGCCGGCCCGGCTAAAATAACTGGATGGCCTACCTGCCTGTCAGCCTTCCATCTGTGCACAAACTTATCTCGTGCCCTCATTGGTCATGTGCGCGTTCGTGTGTGTTGGAGGAGGGGCTCTATAAGGAAGTGGCAGATTTTCTCCGGTTGTGTATTTTCAAATTCTAGCGATCTCGAGCCGGTTTCTCAAACTTACCTACCCCACCTTTAACTTGGAATGATTTGTCCAATACGCATGTTTTTGATGGATTACATGCAAAAACAATGTCATTCCTATAAGACTCAGCTGTAGTTTGAGTGTGGTGCTAGATAGCAAATGTTAGCATGCTAACACCCTCAACTAAGATTGTGAACATTGTACACATTACCTGCTACTGCTATGTTAGCATTGTCATTGTGAATATGGTGGGAAGCTAAAGTTAGTATTTAGTTTGAAAATGTTTCATGTGCAATCAATGCATTTCAGGATCATATCTCCAAGGGCCAAAAAGAAAGATAGGAAGAAGTTCAATCTATAATCATTTGCTCAATCTTTTTATGTAGCAGTTTTAGTGAACATCATCAGTTGCTGTACTCCTCCTCTCTATCCTAAAATGCCTGCCAATCAGTCAGCCTTGTGAATAAAACCCCACCAGTTTACTCTCACAATAACGCTGTGCAACAAAGCCCTAATTGCGAACACACTCCAATCTACACACAGTGGTCCCTACTTATGAAAAACAAGCGCATCAAATTCTGTCTATTTTAAGAGCCCACTGTCTGCATAATGCCCCTTTAGTAAAGGAGACAAAAGAGCCAGTGTATGTGAAAACAACTTGTCGCCTTTCTTCATGTCAATCTCTATTAGTGTAGGAGCGCCGCTTGAGTGGAACTTTGTGAATGGGGCCCATTCTTTTCATTCCTCTGCTTCCAGGGCAACACAGACAGGAATTCCCGCACTCTCCCTCTCTGGGTTACAGCGGTCATGTATCCTACAGGTGGTCGACCCATGACTGACTTCACTTCTTGACATCTTAATATATCTCAGACGGCCACCATGTGATAACATCACGATTGATGCTGTGATGTAAAGGGCATGCTGTAAGAGAGTAAGGGTCAATGACTGAGCTTCAAAAACACCCTCCCTCATTAAGGTTTCTTCTTTCCACACAGATCAGTCTGTCATACCACCAAGAGAGAACATGAAAGATAATAGTGGGAGTAAAGTTCAAGATGCTGCAAGTGCAAAGGCAGCCTCTATAACTCATGACATGAAAGATCTCGGTAGGAACTGCAACACTTTCTTTCATTTTATACAAGGTTCACACTATAAACTATATCTAGTTACTGTAATGAAATCTAATGAGACCATGTTAAAAAAAGATTTTCAAGAAAATAGATATATTCAAGTATATCCAAGATCGGTAGAAAAAAGACTGAGATGTTGACATATACTCTCAGGTCTTCAGGGACTGGTCAGCTTTCTGTCCCCAGAGTCAGAACTAAACATGGAGAAGCAGCATTCAGTTATTATTATGCTCCAAATATCTGGAACAAACTCCCAGAAACCTGCAGGTCCGCTGCAACTCTTACTACTTTTAAATCCAGGCTGAAGACTTTTCTTTTTGCCGCTGCTTTTAATTGAACTATTCACATCTTAAACTGCACTGTAACTTTTAACTTTTATCCATGTATTTTTTCTTTTAATGTTTATTTTATTATCTTTTCTTTTTAATGACTGATTTTAAATGCCATTTTCATAATGTCTTCCATTTTTGTAAAGCACTTTGAATTGCCTTGTGTTGAAAGGTGCTATATAAATAAACGTGCCTTGCCTTGCCTATACTGCTGCCCCACAATGCAATGCACAAAGGAAGTGAAGGAGTTACTCATAGCTGCAAAACGTTCCCACAAATTGACGAAGTTGTTCCAGGAAGATACAGGAAATAAAAAACACATATTTCACCTTTGGGGAAACATTTCCCTTTCTTTTTGTAAATGTTAGCTGTTCACTGATCAGAACACTGCATCATTTCCTGTTAAAACAGGAACATAGCTTTTTGTGTGTAACTACCACAACAACAGCATTGTGACACTCAGTAATAACAAACAGAAGATACAATTAGTATGTAGTAAGGAATTGTTACACAGTGATTGTGTTGCTGGGTGCTAACAGAACAAACAAGATGCAATACAATTACTGTCATACTTACATATTTAATATATGGTATGGAAGTGGGACACCGTTATTGCATGGATATCGGGAAACAATATCAGCAGACTGACTGCATATGCCTCTACTCTGTGCATAGCTCTTCCTATGAATGGTTTTTCTTTTAATATAGTAGTGAAGTTATGGCGGTTTAGGGTGTCTATAAATACCCTTTTTAGTCGTTCTCATAAATAACAGTAATATTGATTTCTTCCACCACCAGATGACTAAAGTGTTTCTTAAGTTTTCACTACTTTTGCCCAAGTAGCTGATGTCTCATTATTTTATTGGCATAACAAAGTCATTTTTTCATTGATGTGTCCTATGCTTTAATCCTTACTGAATTTCATTCTGTGGCTAAGCCAATTACACTACTTGAGTTAATCCCGGGGGAACAGTTTTTCACCAGAGAACAATTCAAACCGCCCACACAAATATCCGCCCCATGACAGAATGGGGTGGGCAGTGTGAGGACCCACAGAGCTACAGGAATAGAGAGGATTTTAATGATGGTAATCTCTTTTCCTTTGTCTTTATTAGATTGTTATGTAATCCTGGATGACATTTTAGAATAATGGATGCATGGATGGAAAGTGGAAATGAGACGAAGGCAGAGGTAAATGTGGAAAGAATAACTAAATGAAGATGGGTATATGAAGTCCTGTCATACCTCGGAACAGACATAATAATTATAGAAAAGAAAAGAGAGACAGACTGTGAACAGAGAATACAGAGAACAAGGTTGTTGCTATTCACAGGTGATTATGTAGGCGAGAGAGATGAATTCCTGTGACTCCTATACTATTCACCCCCTCCTCATGCCGGTACCTGCAGAGCTGCTTTAATTAAAGCAGTGATCTTTCTCTTATCTAATTAAAATTTGATGCTGAAATAATTAATGTATGTGGGGAAAGGAAGCAGGTGGAATTTGAAATGCTGGGTGTAAACGTATGCACTGAATGCCTCATATGTCTATCCCCTAACCAATGTATTTTCCTTTCATTAAGTCTTATAAATTAGCTGTGTATATAACTCTTGATGATGAGCCTACTTTGTTGCAAAACTGAAAAAATAGTATAAAGCCTATTGTGACTTTAGACGAAGCTGTGTGAAAGCTGATTGCCTCAAGTGACGTCACTTTGATGGTTCTGAAGAAGAAAAAATTGCTTCTGATGGCTGTGATCATATTTTGCCATACCTGGATTCAAACTGCAATAGATGATGTAATAGCAGATAAAGAGGGTTCATCATGAGCTATATTCATAAACACCTGACACACAAACACCAGTTGCATTTGGAGAATATCTGTCGCTGTAAAAGAACCTTTCAACATTCCTACCAAAAATGTAAACATACTAGTAGCACTATGAAAAACATCACGAATAAAAAGGTAATCAAAACTAATTGTAACAAATATTTGATCTGAAATATGACACTGTATTTTAAGTATTTTTTTTAATGTATTTATTACTTTATCTGTCTACACCTGTTGTCATGTTTTTTGTATACAAAATATATGATGTTCATATACAAAATAAATAAATAAAAATAAAAAAGCCGTTCCGTTTCTGTTGCCAGAGCAACGCTTTCTCTCTCTCCCATCCGCCTCTCACCAGCAATCCGTTGATTTAGTTAAACTCTCGCGAGACTACTGAGTCCATTCAACACACCGTTCTGATTTCTATCGCGAGACTAGAGGCCAGAGTTTGAGAGGGAGGCGGTTACCTCATCGTCGTCGCAAGGCGGAGCGAATCGCTGCAACTTTTTGGATGAACTTCTTATTTGAACAAACCGAGAGGCGGTCGGCAGACTGCACGGACAACAACACACCCTAAAGGTGAAGAGATTTAGAGCTTTTTCCGCTACGAAGTGTATTTACAACCGGTTCGTTTTATCGCGACAGTTTGTGAATGCCAGTAACGGAGCAGCGAGAGCGTTATTTTCCCTCTCGAAAACGCCGACAAGGTGGAAATTACTAAAGGTGAGTGCGCTCTCTGCTACGTTGGTCTCCCAAATCGCACACTAGCAATATCAAAACACCGTTAGTTTGTCGTTAACGGTCAACTTTGTAATGGTTGAATTGTTATCTGTGCATTTCAGTATTTGAGTTAACGTTCATGTCACCCACAAACGGGTTGCAGGTAGCACTAGGGAAGGAAAAGTACCCTAAAAAGTTAGCGAGCAGTCGGGTAATGTCAGTACTGTGTGTGACTCACGGCTGATACATCGCCTATATTCTCGCTAATATCTCTTTTTACCAACCATGCAAAGCATTTGGATTTCGAGCCAACGTTCAGTTAACATGTCATGCCTCCCCCTAAGACAAACCACAGTTTAACATTCAGACACCGTGGCTCCTAAAAAAACAGGAAACCCTGCAAGACGAGCATCAGATAAAGGTAATTGTTGAGTTAAGTCCCTGTGTGTCTGCTGAGTAATTGGGATGGCTAGCTGCAGTCGCTCTTGGGGTTTCCTGTTCATATCAACCATGCCCCCCATCTATTTACTTGTGAACGATGACGCAATCGTAGCCACCAGAGAAATCTTGTCTTATATCTGGTGAAGAAGCTCTTTTTTGTGCAAATGCATGAATGTTGTATTAAGGTGTATTTTGCTGTCATGCATTGCTGTCGTTTGCATGAGTTTGGACATTTGCAGTGCTTCACCAAATCCCTTCTAAGTGAGAACTGAGGATGCACATAGACATCTCTATGTTGTTATTTTGCAGGGAAAGTTCATGAACTGTTCCTTTGCAAACTAAACTTCTAGGTTTTAGAATGTTATTCATAATGCATGATATGTTACTGAAGACAACAATGCAGTTGTTAAGGAATGTGCATGACATCGAATATTAAGTTAAAGCCTAATTTCTGCCCAGTGCTCTGTCAAAACCAGCCTCATTAATCAAAATGGCCGTCTGAGTAATCTAGTCAGGTTTGAATAGTGATGTAACACTGCTACATTTAAGTGATGAAGGTTTATATCACAGATTAAACAAATGACATTACTCTGGTAAAACTCAGTTATGTTTAAGATTATTAAAACAAGTCCTAACACTCACTTAAGTTTTCTCATGCAAGTTTGTTCATCTGACGAGCTCTCCTCTGTCTTAATGACACCCTAAGAGGGATTGTCATTGTAAGTGCCCCCACCCTCTGTAGCTGCTCTGTCTCTTGTTATTGCTGCCATCTCAACCTGTGGAGTCCGTCCCCAGGCTACCAGCTTCAGCCTCTCAGGGGGTTCACACACACCCCCTTGCCTACACACAGAAACACACTGCATCCTCCTTTGAGAAGTCCTAAATGGACACGTCAAAGAGATCTCATCTCTATTCATAGGCTGGCCGGGGTGGGTCAGATTCTCAACTTGAAACACAACAGCGGCATTATAAATATATTCTCTCCAGGACAGCAATTCAACCGCTTTGTCCACTTTGCTTTGGCTACTGCAACCGCTGTGTTGAATCCCCCAAAACTGTCACGTATTAGCGTTCGGACATCTCTTTCCATCATCCTTCCCGTGTCGGTGCGTTTGAATGCCAAGGCTGAGCAGATCTGGAGTCTGTGTTGCATTTACAATAATAAGTGGGCTATTGAAATTGAGTGTGTAGGTGGAGGCACACACGTTCTGTAACACATGTAGCTGGTGAATCAAAGGGGGGGTGGGAGAAAAGAAAAACGGATACGGAAAATGAAAATGTCAGGGTTGCTGCTGGGCTGCTAAAAGAGTATCAAAGGGCTTTGGGGTTGTAGAGCCATTGAAACATCTTTCTAGGTGCTCGGCACTAAGCAGCTGGAGTTGGCACAGTAGGGGCTCTTATTAGGAGTTTCAAATGAAGATTTTTCCACTGCCTTTTGTAATTGCTTGCAAGCAAAGTCTTTTACTGTAAATGTGTATCAGATGTACTGTGATCAGGACGTGGTCACTCATTCAAAAATCCTCTAATGTGTAGCCTAGGCCTATCTGGAACAGACGAGGCTGTTGGCAGTGCGAACAGAGAGAAATCTGGCAAGTGCAAAGTCAGAAAAAAGAGGACACTTTAATCTCATAGCTGGCCAACTCGCACTTTCGTCTGCATGCAGGAGCTGGAAACAGAGTCTTAGCTGTTTACGATCTTCCAAGCTATCCCTGCTATGGCCCCCCTCCCTTGCCGAGCTACTTTCTATCATCTCTGCCTTGTCCTCTCCTTCTGTCGCTGCTTCTTTACTTTCCACCTCCCACGATATTCCCTCCTCCCTCCTCCCATCACCAGCAGTGCCTTTTCCTCTCGTCTCGGGCTTCCTTCCTGTTGTGGAAAGCATGTCGGGACTGACACTCTCCCCATTTCTGTCCACATCCCTCACCTTATCTATCTATCCCGTCCTTGTGGTTTACATTTCTTCCCCCTTTTCTCCGTGTTTCTGTCTCCCTCCCCTCCTTCTCTGTCTCTCTGCATGCTGGAGATTGGAATGTGAGTTCCCTCTGTTTAAGGTCTTGGGGTGGGCTGTCTCTTGAGAAATAGCAGAGCAAGAAGTACTCTTTACCAGTGAATAGATCACACCGCAGGCCAGAATGATTAAATAAAACTACTAGGCCTCTGTAAATCAAAGTTATTCCTGTATAGAGAATTTAAAGATGGCCTTCTCGCACAAACACTGTGCATTTTTCCTAGCCATAACCTGAACATATCAACACTTTTTTCAAGAGTGTTATGTTAAATGCATCACTGCCAACTACAATTGCAACAGCAGGAACACTCCAGGAGGTTATGCCAGCTAATTAGCATGGATAATTATTAGCATCATTCATATTACAAACAAACATGGTATATTTGTCAGGTTTGACAGTAGACAGAATAAGGGATAGTCGGAGTACTGCTGGTAACTTTCCTTGAACTTTTAGTGAAGGGCTAGAGGGATAGAAATGCACACTTTGTCTATTGAGGTGCTTGTTGGAAGAGCGGTGAACTCGTAACGGCCCGTCCACACAGCGGCGTGCATTGACAGCTTCACCATTCACTTTGAATGGGGTAACGTCACTTTTCGCCGAACTGCATTGTGGGAAGCGAAGCGGAGCTTTGCTGGCGTGGCTCGCTGCAAAAGTTGAGCAATGTTCAACTTTTGAAGCCTCGGCAGAAGCAGAAGCCAATCGAATCATATGCCAGTACAAGCTCTAGCCAATCAAACCGCTGCTTGTGTGTCAGGGGCGGGAGATTCATGTGATTGGTTGTTGGTCGAGTTTCAGACACGCCCGCCGGCAAGCTTCAACGCACGCCGCTGTGTGGACGGGCCGTAACTGTGATGCATTTATGGCGCATTTCCACTACACGGTCGGCCTCGGCCACACTCGGTACGGCTCGGTACGGCTTGGCTGCGTTGGGCCTTAACAGGGCCGACTCACTTCATGCTGCGCTTCCATTACAGTTTAGGAACTGGGGTAGTTACTATAGTAACGCAGTGTAGGCGGAGCCGTGACGTCATCTTCAATGAGTACTCCAGAAACACAACACAGCCGTTAGCTGTTAGCACTCAGAGCTCACAGCTCCTCATATATGTTCAGAAACTCGACAAAAGTTAAACAAGTACACACCACAGACTGCCTGTGTCATGGTGAATACAGTCACTGCTTTATTTATGTCTGTATAGGCCGTTGTTGTGAGTGTGGACGGTCAGAGCATATACTGCGTTAGCTTAGCCAATCTCCATCTAGAAAAACACGCATTTTAAAAGGTTTTTCGCCTGCCGTCTGTCTGCAGACTTGACAAAGCATTAATTCATGGTTTTTACTAACCGGTATCAGTATGTTGTTACTTCGGCATCATTTTGAAACGTGTATTACAATTAAATCACGGTCAAATATGTCCATCTTGTTGTAGTTCTAGCCCTCTTGCCAGCGCTCCTCTCTCTAGTTTAGCATACTCAGCCTGACTCAGCCCTGTTTGTTGGCCCCGATAGAACCACAATTTTCTAGGGCCAGAAAAGAGGTGAAAAAGTGGCCCCGCGCCGTGCCGCGCCAGAACTAGGCCTAGTGGAAGCACAACCAAAAAAGGGGACGGCACGACACGGCACGCTTAAAGCGAGCTCCGCGCTGCAGTGGAACTGCGCCATTATTGTACTTTTAGGGTCCATTTATAAGGTCTTCAACTTTATCCATTCAATTTGAAGTTTATTTTTTGTGTTCTTTCACTTGAGTAAATATATCGAGCTGCACTGTGAATGTTAAAACAAAGTCAGAAACTTCACACCATCACACAAAGATGATTAACACTAAGTTAATACCTAAAATATTCTCATATGGCTGGGTTTAATACATTTCAAACAGCCACCTGTCTTGAGTCGTGATTGATAATACAGCCAGATGAACTTGTTACCATTCAACAGATAGTTGGAAAATATTGCAAAATCCAGAAAGTATTTTCAAAAATATTTCATCCCGGAAGACTTGATTAAAGCTTTGTTAGAAGGCCTAGGTCTATGTACTCTGACACATTTGAAGCACAAGCCAGCATATTGTTTCCGCCTAACAAACATCCCTTGAGGTGTTTTCTCTTGATATGTGGCATTGCATATCTCTTTTGATCCATGTTTCTCTTGCAGGGGATAATTCAGGAACCCTGTTCAGGCTTTCAGTCGGTAGTGTCAGGGCCTTTTAATAGCAGCTAGAAAAGGAAAGAGGGCACAAGAAGAATCAGTTAAGCAGTTCCACCTGAGGTAAAGCGACTTAAAAGCTACATTTTTCCTGTAATGGATCCTTTTCTCTCTCTCCACTTTCTCCTCTCTGTCTGGTGAAATCACTTCTTAATTAGGACTGTAAGAGGGGTTTACAGCGCATGCAAGTGAAGTGGATTATATAAAAAAAGCTTCAGTTGTGAAAGATGAGCAAAAAAATCTATAAACACATCATGAAACAATGACTCGGCAGGCTAATCCTCACAGAAGTAAACAGAAGGAACATACTGTACGGTTGGAGCCCTGAGAGAGAGAGAACAGCCTGATGTTATGA